TAGCCACTATCCATCAAATTAGGAATGATTTTAAGCTGTTTCCGATAGTATTTACAATAATTTGAATTTATTTTATGAGGAGTAACAACAACAGGTGTTTACGCTCTGACACCGGAAACCGGAACCTAAACCTAACCTAACTAAAAGGTGATGCTCTATGAGTTCAACCACTTTGCTTGACCAACCCACCAACCCATTTATCCCTAAGCGGTCACCGGTGACCGCTCCCCACTAGCTATATTATAGACCTTGTTTCCTATGTTTAGAGACTACTTTTGTATGAACAACGTGTATTCTGTGTCCAATTTTATCTAATGTTATTTAGTTTTACTATATTATCTCATTTACTTTTAACATCATTTTTATAATAAGTAGATTAAATTTTCTTATTTTTTTTAATTTTTGCAATTTAATTTGGTTAATGTAATTTGTGCATACTGCGTTAATCAATAAACAATAAATAAATAAATTCTGGGTACATATCAATATCAAGCGAGAAATGAGTCACTTTTGTAAGTGATAATAATATTGATAATAGATATTGTTCAGTTCTTACTTGCACTTGGGCCTGTTTTTCTAAGTAAAGTTTCCGTTAATCCAATTAGATTGTATTGAATCTAATAGGCTAGATCTATTGATCTAGTTAGCTAGTTAGATCCTTCATACTAGTTGGTAGATAATTTAAACTATGTATATTTCATAAGGGACGTGTCGATGAAGGTTAGATTATTCCAATGCCAGTTAAATTTTATCATAGGAATAACGTTCAATATTTGACCATTATTCCACTGATACTAAGAACTACATAACATAACATCACACCTTTTACCCCGAAGGGGTAGGCAGAGGTGCACATTATGCCACTGTACAATGTAACACCCACTTTTCACTATTTATGTTATGAGTCCCATGTAATAGGGGGTGAGCCTATTGATACTAAGAACTATTAAATGTCAATTTCATTCTACGGTTAACAATAATCTGTTGATTGAAAAATCTGCGTTTTTTTTTTGTTTCTGGCTCTATGATAACAAAATTGCCTGCCTTATTGGCCGAGTAGTCGCAAATGCGACTACCAGTCAAGGGGACTCGGGTTCAATTCTCGGGTCGGGCAACGTATTACAGGGTTTTTTAAAAATCTCAGTAGTAGCACGAAGTCTGAAAATGTGCCCGATATATGGCAATAGGCACTTCCCCTATTACTTGGAACTCATAACATAAATAGTGAAAAGTGAGTGTTACACAGGGCCTTAATGTGCACTTCTGCCTACCCCTTCGGGGATAAAAGGCGTAATGTTATGTTATGTGATATCAAAATTTTTGATCACCAGTAGCGAAACAGATAAGTAACATTTAGGTAAATAATATGTTAATGCAAAACTTAACTTGTCAAGGAAATCTGTACCGTTTCATTTTCTGGAAACTTCTGTACTTACCTTGGTAGTTTAAATATTTCCGTATAGTGATATAAGTGATTCGACAATGTGAGCAGTCTCATATAACTTTTACCTTATATGTATACACACGTCATACAAGTCAGGTGAAACATTAAGATTCGGTATTCTTTCGACAGAATTTCGAAAATATAAGAATAGAGGTACAATAAAAATTGATATTTAATTTGTCTACTGTTGAGTTTAATAGAAGTTCTTTAAATGCGTCACAAATCTATTATAGTGTCAACTGTAAGACCTTAATATGAACACTTTGTTTGTTTCTTTCTTAAAAAAAGATCTTTTGTCGCAGATGTAAACCCACCCTTACACAGGCGCGAAACAACAATTTATGGGTCACACAAAGAGTCCCTTCAATACATAGTATAAAACAAAGTCGCTTTCGCTGTATGTCCGTATGTATGCTTAGATCTTTAAAACTACGCAACGGATTTTGATGCGGTTTTTTTTAATAGATAGAGTGATTCTTAAGGAAGGTTTGTATGTATAATACATGCATATTGCACCCGTGCGAAGCCGGGGCGGGTCGCTAGTTTACAATATAATGGGAATTTGAGAGTGAACAATTTCGTCCCCAGGTCTATGTTAATTTGCGACTCAGGGCAGACTGAAATCACTTAAAATATCTTTCTAATACTCATTACCTAACTTAATTACGTTATTGCTCTTATATATAAATGCTTAATTTTTTAATTGTCATACACATCTACAAAACAATAATAAAAGCATGGATATAACATCCAAGGTGATCAATTTTGTCGCGGAGAATGTAACGGGTAACCGGGGCTCCGGCTCGACGTGCAGGAGCAGGAACGAGGTGGTTTTAGTCAGTAAGAGTCTGGCACTCCCTTCCGCCTCACCCAGGCGGGAGCAGTCATTCGATGATTTTCCCTCCATAAAAAAGGTGACCAATTGTCCTGTACGGGTAACTGACAAAAGTTTTTATTTCATGATATATTTTTTTTAATTTCATGATCATCTATGTCACAGCTTTTGTATCGGTGCGAATCTGAAAAGGTCTCTGTGAATAATAATAGCAACATTGACATAACAAAACTAACTGCACCTAACTGAATTCATAATTAAATTCCACTTAATACATAGTTGCACAAACTTGCAAATTTAATTACCTCCAAATGCGTAATCTTATGACGATAATGAATAAATAATAGATATAATTTATACAACATAAAATTATGTAATTGTATGCATTAGCTAATGATAGTTTATTTCGTAGATTCAATTAGTATTACTAAGAATGTTTAAAGTAAAAATCTTCTGAGAAACAAATCTGTTTACCTACCACTGTCCATGACATCATGATACATTATGTACGTATGTGTTTAATCATACATATGTTAAGTTAAACTTGCACTGTTCTATGAATTCTTATGTATAAGAGATGTAGTGCTATATTCACTGATAAAATAACAAGTCATTTATGGATTTTCATGTAGATCAATAGATAGAGCGATCCACGAGAAAATAAACATGTATACTAAGATTATTTGCTCATTGACTAGAATGAGGACATGTCAAGCTGGAGGTAGCTCAATATTTTTTAATTTATTACAAATAGGTTTTACTAAAACTTTGATAAAACTTTGAGCTCTGAAACCTTTTTGAAGTATCGTAAAATGGTGTGGATAGGGATCAAGAGGTGCATGGAGACAGAAGAGGGGTGAATAGATATTGGGAAATTCTTCATAGTATGGATCCACCCCTCTTCTGCCCGATTCATATCTCGATCCCTATTTACCCCATTTTACCGTTACAGAGTTAATGGCAAACTCTTCTTATGTAGAGGATACCCATAGTTCAGCTGTATGTAGCAGTCACTGTTGATGACGACGACGAGGATTAAGTTCTATTTATTTTTTTTATATCTATTACTGTTTAGGATGAATAACAAGGACGTTAAAAAACTGGCGAACATAGTCTCTTGAAACAATGACTGTGGCACCTGGCTACTATTTTTTTTTTTTATTTAATGGGGGAAAATCATCGAATGACTGCTCCCGCCTGGGTGAGGCGGGAGGGAGTGTCAGACTCTTACTGACTAAAAACCACCCCGTTCCTTCTCCTGCACGTCGAGACGGAGCCCCGGTTACCCGTTAGGTTCTCCGCGACATCCTGGCTACTATAGACTTACACAGAATACATACACATTAACACGAAAGACATCTGTCGCGTGACACGGTGTTGCAAGTACATGCACACATAAATACACCACTGACATTTTGGTGCTTCAATCATTTCTAAGTGACATTATATCCGCCACTTTAACAACGTCCTTGATGACATACAAATAATAAAATTGTATTTATTATGACATGTGTATAGACGCATAAAGGTGACAAATGATTTCTTTGTGTTCAATTATTGTCATTGAGTCATCAAAAGCTATTCAATTGTTAATTTATTGAATCAGCAGTAATCATCCCGTCTATGGTAACGGGAAGCCTTATTCAAAGACATTAATGAATACGTTTCACAAAAAAACATAATTTATCATTATGTGCATTAAACTGTCAAACACCAAGCGGTCACCGGTGACCGCAACCTATTGTTCTATAATTGTGTCTACAAAACCGGTACTCGACGAGTTAATACATTAATGACAAGACGGGATTGAATCTCTTTGATCTCCCATTTTGTAAGTTGTAAGAAAATTAATATTACCATGTTAAAACTAATGTTGAACTCACCCAGAAGCCTACCCTTACAATCGACCTTTATGTTAATGAAACCACTTTATGTATTTACACAAATGAGTTAATACTAATATATCTTTGGAAGCCTTGCACTTTAATTTTAACAATAATTTTCCTTATTTTTTAAGCACCGAAACGTACCTACGTTGCTTAATTTTCCCAGTAACGTAGCAATCTATAATGTCTTGTTTACAGCCACAACTTGCGGCCCATTAACATTTCACTAACAATACAGGGAGGGTTTTACCAAAACTGCTCAGGTAATTAACTAAGTGCCCTATTCGTTTAGTTAAAAGGTTCAAATTGGTCTGTTTTGAGTGCGCAAGCGTTGACCCATGTGCCAATGAAGGTAGTGGGTATACCGTCGTCAATATAAACCACTGTCGCTTTCTGCCACCGCTAGTTCTTTAGGTCGATTGTAGAAGGTAAAAGGTGGGTGAATGAACTTCTTGTTAATCAGTGACGATATATTTTGTGAATTGTGATATGGGAGTTGTGATAATAGTGTAACCTCTAGACTTATAGTACTATTCGACAATACTATCAAAAATCATCTTCGTAACTTTGTGTCAAACAAAAAATCTATTCAACGTCTAATTAACATTCAACAAAGATTCGATTTTAATGTTTGAGATTTATACTTTTAATTCTTCGGACATGTAACTATTACATAGTCCACACACGTCCTGTGTTAGTACAACGTCCATGGAAACAGCTCGCTAAATAGATTTCATCGCTTAACATTCGGGACAGAACACATTCTTTGTTCCATTGTGATCGTACGAAGTTGATTAATTGGGAGAGAGGAATAAAATTCAATTATTCTTTGCAGAAATCAACTGTGAAAATGAGGGTTTTGGTTGTACTGTCGTGCTTGGTCGTGGTGGTGTTCGCTGCTGATAAATACAACCCTAAATATGATAACTTTGACGTGGAGACCCTGATCTCCAACGACAGATTGCTGAAGGCATACATCAACTGCTTCTTGGAAAAAGGACGTTGCACGCCCGAAGGATCAGATTTTAAAAGTGAGTAGTCTTTCTGTTTTTTCTTGGAACATAATTGACCTAAATTTGTAGTGTATCCAGTTTTATTTTCCTTAAGAGGTTATAAAGTAAAGGCTCTTTTTATTGTCAACTCTCCTGAACTTGTTACCATATTCTCATAAACCTACTTTCATGAAAATAATATGAATTTTATTACAAACTGCAAATAATACTAAATTGAGCTATATTAATAAACACTAATAATTAAGCAATGATTTTGACACTGCATTCGGTGTTGGAGCAATAAATACATATTTACGTAACTCCGGATTAACCGAGTGCTCCACTCAAAGTGTTTGCACAAACCGGGTCGAGGTCAAGGTTTGTGAGCAGGAAAATATCCTGAGGCAATGTTCAAAGTACGTCTATGTGAATTCGTACTAAAATTTTCAAATCCTTGACGCGTTTTCCTTTTATAGAATTGCTTAGTCATAATGGTGCTGTTGTGTTAGGTCTTTAGATACTTTTCGGGAGATTGAGGAATATTGGTTCAGTAGATCAATAGTTGAAAATTAGGAAAGTATAAATATCATATAATTATTTAGATGTTAAAACTTCCAAATCAGGACATTCTAACTTTAATCTTAATCTGTTTACTAATTTTCAATTCAATTTTTCCAGAGGCCCTCCCTGAGGCGATAGAAACTACTTGCGCGAAGTGCACAGACAAACAGAAGGGTAACATCAGAAAGGTGATCAAGGCCATCCAGCAGAAACACCCCAAGGAGTGGGAAGACCTCGTCAAGAAGAACGACCCCAGCGGCAAACACCGCGGTAACTTCGACAAATTCATCCAGGGAAGCAGCTAATAAATTCCACCATGTTCCAACACGATTTAAATTTAAGATGTAGGTCCTGTAATAGGTAAAATACAAAATAATATGCTTCAATCGCAGTTGGACTGAACCCCTTACAGCTCTCTATAATGCTGTACCTTGCAATCTCACCTCCCATAGGATTTATCCCGCATCTCCCAACATTCCGTTCCCCGGGATCTAAATCCTTGTGATTTAATTTATATGTAGGCTTTTAGATTTTAATCGGATGACAAATTGTTGTGTTATTTATTGAAATATCACGATGTTGACTGATATTGTAATAAAATATAATGTTAATATAATATTGTTTATTTTATTTAATTACACTTTATGTGTGTTTACGAGAGAACCGAGGTTTATGTGAGAAGGTCTCTTAAAATGGGACTTGCTGTCGTTAAAAGTTGAACTTGAACTCTTTTATATAACATGGCCTATTATGCCGTAGGTCACAGTTGTTAGGTTGTTGTTATAAATAGCATGGCATTGTTTGCACAATTAGGTCGTTAGTAATTAATGATGAAATTATTTAAAAAGGTTGAACGGGTTGCATGTGGGTTTTTATGTCAGGCAGGGCCGGCGGAGCGGCGATGCGGCTGTGCGCTTGCGGCTAGTTGCGCCAGAGAGCCCACATAGCTACCGCTGCAGTCTGATGTAACTTCATAGATTGTGTAAGCCCGTCACATAATCTTCGGTACAACGCAATCGTTCCGCATCATGGCACGATTTTCACGTCACTGGTTCTCCATGGGACCCTTTACTAGTTTTTGCTGGAATTCTATTTTGTTTTCGCAACCTTTTCGTTGTGACTTTCCCTTTCTTCATTGCTGCATGCAAAAAATATCCAATATTTTTAAAGATTGCAATATTTCAACTTGCAACATTGCGATTTTTTTTCTGTGAAGGAAACACAGAGATAGGTATAGTAGATATATTATGTGCTTTGAATTATGTTATCGCCTTACGTCATAAGTCCCATGAAATAAAGAAGTCTATTAACGAGAGATAAAGAATAGTTTGAATTATTAAACTCAATGATAGAAAAAAGAGGTTAGGTCTATAATTTCGGATTAGATACAGTCTTAATGAATGCAAGTCGTGATATTATTATTTGAATTGACGTCAAATGAAGTTTGCTATAGCTGATGAATGCTATAGAATATTATTATCTGCCTTAGTTGTCCAGTTATATAGACGAGGCATAACGCAACGAGTCAAAGGTCTAGCGTGACGAAGTGATTAGCCAATCAATGGAAGATAATCGGCCTGTTTTTATGTATACTTCAGTTCTACAATAGCATTGATCAAGTTTTTATGTAATTTTAGTTGTAAACAAAGATGACTTATTTTTTTTCTTTGGGACCTATGTTTTATCTATCTGTAGGACTGATATTCATATAAAAAGTCTCTATAGGGATCTCTATAGGTAATTCAAAAACAAGTGCCTTGCAAGTACCTAATTCAATATTGAATTACTTATCCAATATAGGCTATCAATTGTCTAAAGAATATTCTTTTTAAATTCGCTCTTAGTATAGGTACGTACTTATCACGTTAAACGCCATGGGGGTCATCGGTGACCGGCGTTAGTGGAGGATTTACCTTCAACAGTTTTTTAATGGCAGTTAAAGTCTTATAATATATCTAGTTCAAAAGTAAAAAACATATATAATTTGCTTTTTATTTATTGTAATGCTCCACATATTCTAAATCAGTTCCATTCAAAAATCAGCCATAAGTCCAAAGTCAGTAACAAAAGTTTTCATCCCAATCTGTCTTTTAGTCGGTACCGATGACGAAAGCACTGAAGGCCTTTTCGTATTCGCCTTTAGGATCGAATTTGGCTCGGAATTGGACGAAGTCATCAGGTTTCTTCTCACTGAGAGCCTTGACTGTCTTCCTGACATTTTGCCTCTGTATGGGAGTGCATTTCTCGCAAGCTGTGGCTATCACTTCGGGCAGCAATTCTGGAAACAGGCATTAGTTAAGCTATGATTTAGTACTTTTGGCAATATTTTCTTACAATGGTTAACGGATTTTTACTAGTTGAATTTTCTTTTAGGCAAGCTAATGATGTCGCAATCTGCGTCGTCCATAAAATTCCTAATACCAGAAGAATTACAAGTGCATTACCGACCTTTTAGGGATTTAAAGACATGAGGATTGGGGATAGGGTAGAGAGGACGAGATTGTGCCTCATTCAACTGGTGAAACAAAACACAAATGTTTATTAACACCATTTTGTATGACACCGTAGTATTACTCCGCTTGAACCGGCCCATTCGTGCCGAAACAGGGCTCTCGTAAATATTCCATTATTGTAAAGGTAATTTTAGATTCAATCTTCTATACTCACGTCTGAAATCAGCAGAATGCTCTACAGAGCAGGGTCCCTTATCCAACATGCAATTAATGTATGCGGTGAAAAGTGCATCATCTCCCAGGATCTTGTCGACGTCTAATTTGTCATATTTTTCGTCGTAGCCAAAGGCAAGTGGAGCAGCTAAGGCGAAGACAGCTATCAGTAGCGCGTTCATTTTGAATTTTATTGCTGAAAATAGAAATAGAATAGAATTTAAGTCGTCTTTTACACATTTCGTTAATAGCATGTAGTAGGTGGAGGTCTAAGGGGGTAGTCTTTGTCCAGTAGTGTCTCCCGGTTGTTGATGACGATGATAATGAGTCACTTAACGGGCCAGTAGCATACCAGCGCAAAGCCGTGTCTTGCACATGCTGAACTGGTCCCATTTCACGGCAGACTTGGGACATGAACATTGAACATGTCCATCAGTACCTACTAATATAATGACTTATCTATACAATATGTCACTTGTTTTTTAACGTGAAATAAAGTTTTTTTCTTTTTTTTGTTTTCTATGATGATCATAATGATGATGTTGATCAATTTAAGGCAACAGAGCTCATCCATTATATGGATCTCGTAATGTAACTGGAAGAAAGGAGGTACTATCTATATCTAGAGGTATACTAATATTATAAAGAGGAAAGATTTGTACCTGTTTTTATAATAACTATCGTGAGACATACTAAATTAAGTAAAAACGCGGGTTACTCACGTGAATATACTGAGAAAAGCTCTACTAGTTTCGAACCACAGAGGGGTTCTTCCTCATGAGCAGCGTGCGCGGTCGCGGCGACGTCGCGCAGCTCACTGGCTGGCGTTGGCGCTCGCCTCGGTGTTGCCACCTGCGCTGCGAGCCCAACGCGCCCTCTGTCGGACACTACGAGCGTTTGCTTCCAACTCCGGCAGCGCGTGTATCTATACTAATATTATAAAGAGGAAAGATTTGTACCTATTTTTGTATGTTTGTAATGAATAGGCTCAAAAAGTACTGGGCCGATTTAAAAAATTCTTTCACCAATAGAATGCTACATTCTTCCAATTTGACATAGGCTACATTTCATTTTGAAAAAAATTAGGGATCCTTGGTAAAATTTGAACAATGTAACCGAAGGTGTAGAAAAATGAGTCTTAAAATGTCTTTCGTCGAATGCGCTGCCGAAACTATTAGCGATAGAACAAAATAATGTACTACAATATTGAAGAACATCATAATGTCTACAAAAAACTCCGCGGTAGCATATGTCCAACTATTGTAGTTATGTCACTACAACAATCCAAATTTCCAAAAATAAATAATTGTCTACCCTGTGCGAAGCCGGGACGGGCTGCTAGTATTTTATAATGTTTAATAGGTTACTTTTCAGTTTATCCTACTAATATTATAAATGCGAAAGTTTGTGAGAATGTAGGAATGTGTGTGTACTGTGTTCGTTACTCTTTCACGTCAAAATGGCTGAAATTTGGAATAGGGGTGGATTATGGTCTAGAATAACACATTGACTACTTTTAATCCCACGGGGACGCGGGCAAAACCGCTGGCAGAAGGTTGTCTTTAATACTTTTTTTCAAATGTCACGATTCTACGAGTTTTGTATAAAATGAGAGTTCTATTAATATTTTTGTGCCAACCATATTTGTCTCTCTAAAATAGGCTAAGAAAAAACTATGTGATATTAAATGTGCGAATAATAGCGTCTTTATTTTTAGATGTAGAGATTGGCAACTGTAATTAAGAATGAAGGCATTTAAATTGACGCAATTTTAACCAAAATTATGCGATTTAACTTTTAATATTCAGTTAAATAAATTTTAGTCACAAAATGAACATACACGTCAAGTGGATGTTTAGTTTTATTGTTTTATCTTATTTTTCAGGTTTGTTTACTATTCTGCTGCGGTTCGTTGCACTTGGCAGATTTTTAACTTTTCGTATTGTTTTAGGATATCTGTTCAGATTATAGTACTTGTACATCTACCTCTATACATCTATGCAAATAAATTAAATTGAAGTGTCTGTTTGTAATATTGAAATAACCGCTTTTTGCTACATGCATATGAATATAATACTTATTTATTTATTTTTTATCTGTCTGTCTGTCTGTTTATTGTACTGGTAGGTATTGTACGTTAATCTCTGAAATGGCTAGACCCATTCTAACGGGACTTTTATTGGCATGTAGGTGGTGTACTAAGGAGTTACATAGGCTATTTTTATTTTGGGAAATTGAAACTGAAATGCTATGTCCTAAAAGTCATATTCTACACAGTTGAAGTCCGCGACTTCATCTATATATGTATATAGCATCACCTAATATTACATAAGAAACTGCGGTTAACAAATATTACAAATATTACTGTAGAGAATAAGGGTTTCAGGTACAGTGGCCACCAGATCATCCTACTCCACTGTGCCAAATATATTCATTGGATTTTCGACTTTATGTCAATACAATAAAGTCGAAGATACATACATACATAACTTATCGCCTGTCTCCCATGGGAGTAGGCAGAGACTATGGAACGCCAATTACTACAATTCCTACATATCTCTTTCGCTTCATCAACAGTCATCAATCTTTTCATGCATGCTCGTCGGTTAATAACTTAATAAATATATCACCGACTTGGTGTAGTTGAAGATGTAATACAGAAATTTTTCAGAAAATGATAAGTAAGTGCTGGCCACCGTACGATCTCATCTGTCATACTAGGGTTTCAAATCCTCAAAAATAAATTAGCAACAAGTACCTATTACAAAAATAGTCTTTCATTGGATCCGCAACTCGTGAGACTAAACATAGTTATAATCTATTATTGTTTTACTGAATAAAAATACAACAACTTTTAGTTAAACTTAACCCACGATTATTAGATTTTTGAAGTAAAAAATATATTTTAGTTAAAATCTTACCGATTCGTGTGATCTGATGTCCCAATGGTTTCCATGGCTAAACCCACCATCCATCCCGTTTTATACCACATAACTCGGAAATACATAATTATTTTAATTTTCTAGAATATAAAAAAAAATGAAATTGTTTAGGCTAATGACATTAAAACATAATTTTGCCAGATACAATTTGCGATATCATGATAGCATTGGCCTTCAGTGACAAATGTTACATAAACATTGAACACTAGACTAATAGGACCCAGTAGTCATGTAAATACACCAAAAATGTAATCGTGACTTAGCAAAAATCATAAAAATCAAAAAAATATCGTACTTTGCCCGACCCACGAGCATGAGATCTATCTTGATATCTTACTAATATTATAAACTAGCTGAGCCCGTGACTTCGTCCTCGTGGAATAGTGATTCCCCGTAGTTGATAGCATGATAATATTATTATGTACCCTATATGTTGACCCGACCTGTTAGTAATATTCATGCAAAATGTGAAGTAAATCTATGCAGCACTTTTTTAGTTCATACCGCAGATACATACAGACAAACAGACAAAAATTCTAAAATCCATATTTTTGGTTTCTGAATAGAATGTAGATTCCGCCCAAAGAATTTTTTTTTAAATATTCGTTGTACAGTTTTGACTTTCATACGATTTTATTATGTGTTAGATATATTATAGAATATGTAGATGCCAAAGTCTGTATATTTGTTTGTCTGTTGCTCCTTCACGTCAAAACGGCTGAACGGTACCGTGATGAAATTTGGAACTGGAGTAGATAATGCTCTGGAATAACACACTTAAGCCACTTTTTAGCCTCTGGCAAAAGTCAGTCTAGAATGTAATTGACAAGTTTCAGAGTAGACAAATCGTATTGTAGGGCAGTCTCTAGCTAGGTGGGGTGACAATAATTATCTACAGTGGCTGACAGTGGTTGGATGCGAAGAGCTGAAGATCGATCTCAGTGGCCTGGTATTGAAGAGATCCAGAAGATAAAAACAGACTGACGATGATGACGATGGAAGATTAATTTAATGAAGTCATTAACTCCCTTATTTTCACCAAGGGCAAACCAACAAACAAAATTCACATTTATAACAATAACAGCAAAGATTATTATCGATAGATGATACCCATAGCGGTTATGTATAGCAGATCGGTCATCCGGAGCTGATTACTTTGACAACATCAAACACATGATGCTAATAGATATTGTCGGGCCCAAGGCTGTAGTTAGTATAAGGTCAATGTTAACATAATACATGGTGGAAAAAATATTGAACCACAATAAAAATTGTACCACTATATTACATTAATTACCTCCCTTCCCAATCTCCCCAATCCTTGAATCCTTAACAATCCTCAAATTCCTAATCCCCAAAAAGATGGTAATGCACTTGTAACGCCTTTGGTGTTTCAGGTGTCCATGGGCGGCGCCGATTGCTTACCATCAGGTGATCCGTCTGCACGTGTACCGGTTTATCGCATAAAAAGAAAATATTTTCATAAAGAATTATGAAAATGACTAAAATCAAAACTTTGTCAATAAATTACAAATAATCTACATGTTTTATCCACATAGTATCTATCACGATTCAGGATTACGCACACTGCTTATACTTTTTACTTATTATCTATTAATTGTTAATAACTTTACATTAGAGCTACAACTATATAAGTGGAGCTTAGATGCAAAGTAGAGAAAAACTAAAATCATGAAGTTCTTTGGATAATGGTGACAGACAGGAACTTCCTTAGAAGGCGCTCAACTTTGGGGCATCTGCAAAATAAACAAAATTTAATTGAATAACTAAAATCTAAATTTACATAATTTATAATATAGCTTGGTAAAAATAAGACTTATTTATGCTGTATGCATAAAAATACACATAATTTCAACAAAAAATTCACACAGACTTGCTGACGTCAGTTAAATGATTAGGTGTCAATAAATAAAAATATCCCGTTACTGGTCAATGACTTTTTAAGGGGGGAAAATCATCGCATGACTGCTCCCGCCTGGGTGAGGCGGGAGGGAGTGTCAGACTCTTACTGACTAAAAACCACCCCGTTCCTTCTCCTGCACGTTGAGTCGGAGCCCCGGTTACCCGTTAAGTTCTTCGCGACACTGGCCACTAACTGGGTGACAAATTATAAATAAAGTAAAACTACAGGTCTTATGAACCTGAAATAGCTTTTTTGGGGTGAAAGTAACTGCTTATTTCGGGGTAGGTTTTTGTTTGTAAAATATGTACAAAGTACTAAACAAGAATTGTATGTATATAAATGCAAAACTGCTCTAGAAATGGTAAAGAATGCAATGTGTGTGCAGTGGCATTGCTATACTATAGAGGCCGATGGCGAATTCATCGGTTGGGCCCCCGTCCCCAGTGAAAACATAGTTCAGATGGATACCTCTGAACGGATGGGGCCCCTTACAACAGAGTGCCCGTGGCATTTCGACGACTTGTCACCCTGTAGTTACGCCAGTATGACATGTGTATGTTACATACTTACATACTTACATTTTAGAGGTATTAATGTGTCCAGTTACTTTAATTGGTTTTTGTTATCAACCGTTGTGACTGTAATAAATAAATAAATAAATATAGTATTGGGTACACTCTTGTGAAGTCATTGGATAGTGAAGGTAAATCTAATCTATAAAAGTTGAAGAAAGGTGCTGTTTTGAGGTTTCATGTAAGGTGACATTAAATAATATCTCAAACATAATAATCGTATAACGTATAAATATTTCAAGTTAACCTCTCTTAATTGTTTTTTAATAAGTCAATGCAATTTCTAAGTGGTTTCGTGACCTAAGAGGTACCTATGTATTGACAAAGGGTTTCCTAATGGCTTGTATGTAATAAGGAACTTTAATCTGTCGATAGAATAATTAAACGGTAGGTATAATTGGTCATTCTCTCCATTATATTCCTTGTAGGTATCTTGGAATTTTCCTCAACTTATGCAAAACATATTTCAGTCTCACGCGCAACTATATAATGTTGGATAAAATCAAGGAACGATTGTGTTGTTCTTCAGTGTTATTCATTGTATCAGAGGTAGGTAGTGCTAATTGTTTTTACACAGTCGTAACATTTCAAATTATTTTATTTGTAATATTTAAATGTGTACTGGAGAGTTACAAACGTTAAGTTAATTGTTAAAAGTGGATTTGGTGTTAATTTTTATGATTATTATTTGTGTATGAAAGCAAAATTCTATTTTCTTACACTACATTCAAGCCAGGTGTATCCACAGTGAAACTGAATCACATAATTCTGATCTACAGTTTAGAATAAACAAATAATTACATCAGATAGACAGACATTTTTATTGTTTAACTTTGCAAAAGCCCTATTATGGTGCAATCAAGACCAATACTTTGTCTTTAAGTATATGCCATTTATTTTCAGATTAACTAAAGCTTGAAGATGAAGGTACTAGTAGCGTTGTCCATATTCGTTGTACTAGCAGCAGCAGTACCAATTACAAAGGATGAGTTGGCTACACTTGAGGCATTCGACTATGACGCCCTATTCGCTGATGAAGAGAACAGAAAAATGGTCTTCGATTGCTTGCTAGATAAAGGAGATTGTGGTCCTTACAAACAAATTGTTGGTTAGTAACTACTTTGTTCAATATAATTTGGTTTAAAGCTAAAGAAAAGAGTTCTCCGTTTTAAAGCTGACGATGAACTGTTGTTCCGTTTATACGTAGATGGCGTAAATCGTTTACTATTCGCTAATCAGGTGATCTATTAAGCTCATTCACTGAACACTAACACCAGATATAAAATATCTTGTGTCCAACAGAGCGTTATTTGGGTACCCTATCGTATAGTTTTAGTATTTAATATCTGTGCATATAACACCCTTGTATAACAGGGAAATGAAAAAGGCGTGTTTTTATATTATTATGTCCACGAGCTATACCCGCGACTTCATCCGCGTGGAATAGTGATTCACAGTTCTTCCCCTCAAGGGTTACAGCGTGATAATATAATCTAATATATAAAATTCTCGTGTCACAGTTTTCGTTGTGTATGAGAATCGGCCAACATCTATTTTTCATGCCCCTAAATGTTAGGGGTAGTCCACCCCTAAATTATTTTCGAGATTGCGCGTACGAAGTCGTGGGCAGAAGCTAGTTGCCTATATATTGACACGACCTGCTAGTCGTATTCATACAAAAATTTGATGTAAATCCATGCAGTACCTACTTTTGAGTTTAGCTCGGGAATATACATATATACAGACAAAAATGCATAAAAACATATCTTTGGCTTTGATATCGGTTGTAGATCAAGACCCAAACATTATTTCAAAAATTATTCAATGACTGTACAGTTTTCACTTTCGTACGATTTTATTATATGTGTAGATTATCCTTTTATCTGTTGAAACACGATCTGTTGAAACACCGACTCCCGGTATAAAACACATTATACCCGCAACTTTCAACAGAGAAGAGGTTATAGAAAAATGTGACATTCTTGTGAAAATTAAAGAGTACCTAGTAGTAGAAGCAGCTATTATCTTTCCAGTGATGTAAGAATTATAATGTCTCAAGATTTTGTAAATGGATGTTTAAAACATTTTAAGTCAAATGGGCATTAGGTAACTCTAAAGATAATAATGCAAATTCTGTGAGGAAGATCTTATCTGAGTCTAAATAAGATACTACCTACGTCTACAGTAACTGATGTTTTTATTCATCAAATAAAATTTTAATTTTAATGAATGATTTTAGAACAACAGTCGTTTATTTAATTACCTAAATGGGTTAGCAGATGTACCATACGATACATCAATTTAACGTCAACAATATGAAGTATCTTATTTCGAAAAACCTTATATAACATAACATAACATCACGCCTTTTTATCCTCTAAGGGGTAGCCAGAGGTGCACATTCCGGCACTTAATGCCACTGTACAATGTAACACTCACTTTTCACTATTTATGTTATGAGTCCCATGTAAGGGGATGAGCCTATTGCCATATACCGGGCACAATTCCAGACTCTGTGCTACTACTGAGATTTTTAAAAACCTAGTAATACTTTGTCCGACCCGGTAATCGAACCCGAGACTCCTTGCCCGGCAGTCGCACTTGCGACCACTCGGCCAACGAGACATTCAATCAATTATGTCAATAATCTTATACTTATGTACAGATTAAATTGGCGAGTCTAGAATTATAATGCGATCTAATAGACAAAATTATTCATCAAACAGTTTGTACCGCTTGGTGTTTGACAGTTTAATGATTTTAATGTATTATTCTTTATTTTATTTTTTCAGAGCTGTCAATGAAAATAATACTTAGCAACTGTGCAGAATGTTCCCCATCCCAGAAGGCGAAATACGATCACGTACTAAAAGTATTGAAGGAAGACTATGCGTCCTTCTTCAATGAACTCATGCAGAAAGCTGCTTCCAAAAAGGAAAAACATTAAAATACACCTTATTTAGTAACGTAATTAAATTAAAAATTGAATGTAGTTTTATGTTTAGATAAAATGATATTGGCAACTATTTTTTTAAAGTATGAACCTGTGGAGAATGACTTGAAGGATTGGTAATTCAATATTTGAAATTAATTTCTTTAATTAGTACCTATTTATGTAAATTTTGTGAAATTGTATGAATAAACATAATTGGTTTCTATGCATTTAATTTGTTGTTTTTATTGAACCTTGATGCAAGTGACTATTTGGCAACTTGCTATTCATATTGTAAAAGGGGCACCTTAATTATTTGTGTATAAAATACGTATGCAGCGGATTGCTATTAAAATTTTCAGGCATGCTAATGAAGAGATCATTGTCCTCTGTTTGAAAAGGTCTTAAACCTTTTTTTAATTGAAGGGGTAAAACCATCGTATACTCCTTCCTACCTTGGGTGAGATGAGAGGAAGTGTGAGACTAAGTTGGTTAAGTGTGGGAGAGCCATGCTTCGGTACAAATGGGCTCGACCGGAGAGATACCACGGCCTCATAGACAACTGACGTGAAACAACGCTTGCGTTGTATTTCTCCATGTGAGTGAGGTTACCGGAGTCCCAATTATCTACTACGTTATTTGGTATATATCTAGTCTCACAATCTTAATGTGAAGTGTAATTGTGGTAATGACAGGGTATGAAAATTAAAAATATAATTAGTCCGCAAGTAAGGTAATGAAAAAATATTAGACACGTATTTTTTTTATTTTGTCGTATCTATCATAAAACGAATCAAAGTTTAGGAGTGGGGGCTAAAACGTCATTTCTACGTATAAAATGTACATAAAAGTGACGTCACGCGACATTTCAAATCAATATATCGTCGAAAGAATTTGTTTTTCTAAGAAAATAAAAAATACTTGTCTATACCAGACGGACATTAAAATAATACTTAGGCATTTACCCTGTGGTGGCTGATCAACCAACTGCCACGCAACGTGTAGCTGGTTCGATTCCTATTATTTCCTTGATTTTCTTTTAATCAAATTTCTTGATAGACTATAGAAATGTACCTATAATGAAGACTTAAATTTAAGCATTTTTTCTTTAACGAAAATGAAACCCTGATTATCGTGTCCCTAACTCCCTACTAAACACTAAATAAGTTGTTAATAAATAAATAATTATTACATTACACGACATAATATCACGTATTTTATTCCCGGAGGGGTAGGAGAGGTGCACGTTACGGCACTTAATACCACTGTACTGTACAATGTAACAGTCACATTTCACTATTTATGTTGAGTCCCATGTAATACAAGGCGTTGTGTTTTGTCATTTAAGTGAGGTTACCGGAGGCCAAATTACCCCTCCTCCCTTCCCAAATCTCTCCAATCCATAAATCCCAACAATCCTAGAACTCCAAAATCCCCAAAGGGGTGGTAACGGACTTGTAACGCTTTTGGCGTTCCAGGTGTCCACGCCGATTGCTTACCCGTCTGCTCGTTTACCGGCTTATATCGACTTTGCAAGGTATTTCTTTGATTAAACTCGATCGTATGTTTCACGACTTACCTCAATACGTCATACCTATTTACATACTGTTACATTCGACATTATTGCCAATACATTCTATTCACCAACAAGTCAACTAGTAGCGAATTTACCGTTTTTGAATTGCAAACAGACCTATATACCTACTTATTAGGTAGTTACATTCAAAATTTAACGGAAGTGATACCAAGCTGACTGCCTCGTTGGCCGAGTGGTCGCAAGTGCGACTGCCGGGCAAGAGCGGGAGTACAACGGGGCTTAAAAAAAATCTCAGTAGTAGCACGGAGTCTGGAATTGTGTCCGGTATATGACAATAGGCTCACTCCCTATTACATCGGATTCATAACATAAATAGTGAAAAGTGGATGTTACATTAATTGTAAGTTCATTACCTCTAGCTAAGTTTTAGTTAGTCATGCTGTTGGAATATAATGGCGTATCTTCATTATAAAATGTATGAGTTAAGCTATCAGCATCTTACCTATCTAGAGGTGATAAAATAGGCCTTGTTATCTAAAAGTCAAACAAGTTCGATATTTCGATGAGCCAAAGTATTATTATGATTCTCGATCATTATTTTTATAGGCACATTTCCTACCCATCCTATATGACCTATACAATTGAATGATCGTCTTTCTCCTCAAAAATCTAGGCTCCTTTGGAACAAAAAAAAAACAAACCAAAATCGCCAATACAAACAAAAAGGTCCTTAATCTCCTCATGTGTTTGTGTAACACTTCGATAAGAGTTGATATTATATGTATTTCATTTAAATTTATCTCGTCTAACGGGTTCATTGATTCTGATTTCACGGTTATTATGTTAATGTTTATATGCAACATGTTTTGTGTTTATCCAAATCATCAGCTAAAGGTCCTCAACACCCTATAAGTGTAAACTGCTGAGCAAAGCCTCTTCTCACACGGAAGTTTGAGCATTAATCGCCACGATTGCTCCTTGCGGGCTGGCGATTTCAAACTTATAATTAGAAATTATAAGTCCAGGTTTCTTCACTATGTTTTCCTTCACTGTTTGTCAGTGGTGTCTAAATACGACAGTACACATAACTCGGAAAATCTCACATTGGTACTTTCTGTTGATAGGTTTGAACCCGCCACGCCCTCATGCATGAGAAGCGGGGGTCTTAACCTCCGGTAGGTAAATCGTTCATTTACTAGTCCCAAGCGCAACTACTGAGTATGTATAGGTACATTGTACAAAGTATTAGAATCAATTTCTGGGTCAGAAATATCTGGTTATTTGATTCACTACTTCTTATATAAATTTCTGCGAATTTTAATGTGAAATATGAATTGAAAAATAAGGAAAAAGATGCAGATTTGCAACCTACTTTCGTTCAGCTTTTTCGTTGAATTTGTCTTTGATGAACTTATGACACGGATGCATTGAGATTCCAATCGACCAATCTGGAAGTCATTGGGGAAGGTCTATGTTCAGCAGTGGACGGTATCGTGGACGACAATGATGAATTAGATTAAGTAACTTTCTTGATAAAAACTACATTTAAAAATTGTACAAGTGGTGGTAGACACATATGTCGACTATGCATCAGCCTGCTGTCTTACTAATCGTAAGGAAATTTATTGCATTCTTTCATTATGGGAATAATACCACACCTGGTACCTAACGCTATAGTTATCTATACTAATATTATAAAGAGAAAAGATTTGTATTTTTGTATTTTTGTATGTTTGTAATGAATAAACTCAAAAACTACTAGACCGATTGCAATAATTTTTTCACCATTAGAAAGCTGCATTATTCAGAAATAACATAGGCTATATAATATCACGTTAGGTCCTATAGTTGTGGAGCAGTAACCAAAAATGTTTTAAAAACGGGGGAAAAGTATCGTTTCTGAAGCCTTCCGTGGCGTGCGCTGAGCATATAGTTAAAGTTATACAAAAATGCTCTATAGATGAATTGTTCATCTTAACATTATTTTTAAAAAAGTCCGCGAGAGCATATGTCTACCTTTTATAATAGTTTACCCATAACAATCGTTTTAATGAATGGTTCAATCCTTATAAAAGTTTGCTCTAGATAACTGGGACGGGCCGCTAGTACCTTATACAATGACTTCACTGCACCTTTCTTCCAGCTAAAATTTTGGTATCAATTTCTTAAATTCTGAAATTGAGTACAAGATTATAATAATAAGATTATTGTATAAAAAAGAATGAAACTCGGTCTCCTTGGTATTTTTTTTATGGCATAAACCGGTAAACGAGCAGACGGAACACCTGATGGTAAGCTATCGGACATGACATATCGCCCATGGACACCTGGAACACCAGAGGCGTTACAAGTGCGTTACCGGCTTTTTGGGGATTAGGAGTTTGAGGATCGTTGGGGATTTAGGGATTGTGGAGATTGGGGAAGGGGAGGGTAATTGGGCCTCCGGTAACCTCACTCACACGACGAAACACAACGCAACGCCATGGTATCACTCCGGTCGAGCCGGCCTATTCGTGCTGAAGCATGGCTCTCCCACACTTATTTACGTACTTTTACTACACTTTTAAACACTTGAGAGGACTCAGGTGAACCTGAGTCCTTCAGTATACCAATATGTAACTTCTTCAACAGTATAACTTCTGGCTTTGTTGCTAATTACATTAAGACTTTAAACAGAATCACGTAAATTTATTTGAGCTTCACTATATTACATACACATTCTTCCTACTTTAATAGTAGGAACTTCGTAGTTTAATGTATATTGTCTGTGTCCACATGTGAGATGCTTAGAAACTATAGAATTCCAGATATTTGAAAATAAACGTCCACACTCTTAAGGATACACGGCAAGGCTCCATACGTATAAAGATTATATGGCCCTCCTGCCGCGATGTTTACGATTATGTCACCAAACCGGGGTTCATAAGATGTTATTGACATTGCATCCCAAACCAGTTCTCTCAGAATCGATGCTTTTATCTCCAAACACTCGGAAGGACTTTATTTTTTCTTAATTTTTTAACACACAGTTATAATAACGGGTTTAGAAACAAAGGATAACGGTTTTACAGTTAGCCTGCCAAGTCTTACTTGCGAAGCCTATAATGTTTTACCTTTAGATTAGGTAAGACTTAACATGGTATGTAGGAAATGGAAATTCTGTGTAATCTCCTATAAAGAGCAATGGATAAATCGTAAAGTAAGTTTCGCGTAATAAATTGTGTCAAGTCTATTGTAAATTACGCTCGACAATAATAGCTACATACCTACCTACATAGGTATCGACAATGTACGTCAGATGCCTCATAAATTATGCCTCTGATCTTAAGGCTGTGTAATGAATTAATAATATTGTCATAACCAGTAGTTACAACAATAACTAGCATAACAACTAAATACCTATAGCAAAAACCCATTTTTTGCTTTGTATTCTGAACATTGAAATACAGTAATTAATTTTATTACACGCCAATATTATACAATACTAAGAAGAAATACAAAATATGCATAACATAAGATACTACTGCGATTCAGACAAAATGTAAATGCGATTCGATAAAAACTACGAAACCTGGTGAACGAATAGTGCCAACTGGCTGATAATTCAGAAGCCCTATTATTATAAAAAAGCCTTCAAAATAGAGAGAAATGTGTAAAACAAACAATACAAGGCGAACATAACGAGATCAAAGCCATGCAATGAATATCATTACCGGTGGCGGGCGCACTGCTTTCTTCGTCGCTCAGTATGCGGCCCGTTACATCGACCCCAAGCCGACAGGTTTGAGAACAGTTCGCACCCCGCCGGGCAGGCCGTGGGGATCACGAACCATGGGTCCACAATCTACCAAACCCGGCATTGCGACAGTAGACGCCGCAAGAGGAGCACTTGCACAACTTTCTTTCGGTAAGTATTTTTCTATAAAAAGCTTCTTAGAAAGTGCTGTGAAAGTGAGCGGATGTATTAGTTTGTACATAGAAACGTGTTAATTCTGCTACATGTTTTCCTTGCTTTAGATTCCGGGATGTAGTGCACGTTTTTTTCGTTGTTATTGCTTTGTTTATTGATATTGTTTTTGTCATGTTCGTAGCAGTTTCTTATTAAATCTAATAGAGTTATTAAATTTAAATGCGATATCATCATTACAAATGAATTGCAATTGGAATCGTTAACAGTTTAACCTTTGTAAACGATCGATCATAACAATATTAATTCTTTACCGAGTAACTTCATTATTCCGTTTTATGGAACGTGTGACGTCAATCAGGAGTTTCTGAGGAATAAAACGTCTTGCATACTAAGTGACTAACGTGGATCCTTCTATTTTTACCGGTACAAGTACGAGAAAGTAGAATAAAGACCGCAAGTATTGTGTAGCCTTGACATTGTACTAAGCTATTGTTGTTTTAACTTTCTTCGATCTCGATTCGTTATTTACTTTAACCGTATCACGTACGTAGTTGTCGCTTGGAGAACAAAAATATATGTTACTTACAATAGCTACAGAAACATTTTGTACCATATTCTACCAACCAAAAATGAATAGAAGGTTATCAACATGACTATCATTTACGACCATACAAACGTAGGTAGCATAAGGACTATATGATATCTACATATAGTATGACTGCTGGCATATGATCACTGATAATCATAGATGAAAAGTCATATCAGATTTGATTTATAGTCTCATAATCGTTAGAAATCCCCCTTCCTATGCGATACTTCACTTCAATATACATGCATTATTAATTTGAACATATTTTTCTTCTACCAGGTAACCAATAACATGAGGAGCTGGCTGTTATGTCTGTGTGTGCTGACGGTGGTGGTGTCATGCTACTCCCAAGCCAATCGCTACGAGAACTTCAACCCTGATGCCATCGTACAAAACGACAGGATTCTGCTAGCTTACTACAAGTGCGTGATGGACAAAGGACCTTGCACGAGAGACGGCAAGAATTTCAAACGTAAGTAATTTTCGATACTATTATTTTGTGATGATGAGACGATGTTCCGCAATAGGACAGCGCCTAACCATTTGAACTTGATAAGATTTTTTTGCGCGAGAAATTAGTATAATTTTCAATTATGCTTCTACTTATGTCAGCGAAAAGTTACAGACACAATGACATTTTTATTCTAAAATAGTTGTGATAACATACCTATCACAACTATTTTACCGCACCTACATTACCGCAGCAGATAATTCTTTCTTAATCATCATGAGAGTCATTAAATTAAATGTCTATCTATTATTCCTTTTACATGCTAGTTAATTTACATCGCTGGTAACTCTATATACTTACTAATTATATATAGCTAAAACATTGAATTACAAAATCCATTTATACACTGTAATAAAATTCTACTATTTCTTAAAGTAAATTTGACAACAGGGTTGGTGTAGTGGTTAGGCAGGCTGCCGCGCAACGTGTCGCGGGTTCGATTCCCGCACGGAGCAACTCTTTGTATGATCCACATTGTTGTTCCGCGTCTGGGTGTCATGTTTGTGTGACCTTGGATGTTTGTAAACGCACCCACGACACAGGCGTATACCTAGTGTGGTATCCAACGTTATTTTTTAAAACAAAACAAAAAAAATGTATGAACTCATTCTTCTTGTGAACTTCGAAAAATAGCTTAGAAAAATAGTTACTTGTGTTGCTAAAAAGTATCTACTAAGAGTTTACTTAGACAATACTAGCAACACAGATATAAAGCTAATCTGATACTTACTATCTGTTACATTCATAGTGAACAATTCACAAAGCGTATGGGCCCCTCATTTACAGCCATTTCTATGCTAAAGAAAAGTCTTCGCTCTTTCGATAAGATCTTTACATGTTTCTGGAAAACTTTACAATAATAACAAATTCTGCTCACGGAAGAAACCACAATCTGTATTAAATAAAACATTATTGTCTTGCTTCATTATATAGCTCAAAGTATATGTTTACATTTCATTTACTACAAAAAATAGAAGTAAATCTAATACTATGACTAATTGTTTTGTTAAATCGAATTAATTATTTCTTGTATTTACAGCTTTTAGAATTATCTCAAGGGTGTATCTATATAGAAAGTGATATAATTTATAGCTCTAAATTGGATTATTATCACCAAAAATGATTATAGCTTCATTAGCTTTTAAACAACTATCCAAGTTACCAGTAAATAGAATAATAAAAAATACTATAAGATAACAACAATTACAAAATTGTCTCTCTCCCAGAAGGACTTGAGTAAACAAAAACTATATACCAGTTTCGACATTACAAATGTGAACAAAATAATCACTGTAATTTAAATAAAAACTCAATATTTTGTTCTAGGTGTTCTACCAGAGACGCTGGCCACCGCGTGCGGGCGCTGCAACCCTAAACAGAAGACGATCGTGCGCAAGCTTCTCCTGGGCATCAGGTCCAAGAGCGAACCTCGTTTCCTAGAACTCCTGGACAAATACAACCCTGACCGCTCCAACAGAGATGCTTTATACGCCTTCCTTGTAACCGGTGCTTAAGACCAAAATCAAAACTTAGTTTTCGACGCGTGATACCCATTAATCATCATCATCATCATCTCATGATCATCATCATCCACTCACCATCCCCCAATGACTTCCAGATGGGCCCAATTACTTAGACCCATTAATAGCTGATAAAAATGATCTTCTATGAGTATAGTTCTAGAGACAAACCCGGTCATAACACACTATAGATTCATATTGCTTATGGCAATCTCTGTCACATAAATGAAAATAAATCCCACTTTACGGTATCCAGTTAAACATCTACAAAAGTAACGTTACTTATCTTAAGGAGTTAATATCAAACGTAAATCAATGACTAATTTGATCGGTTTGTACTCAATCTGTTCAGAGACTAGTTTTGTGTATACCGTTACGTTATAAAAAATATTTATTAAATGATTGACAGTATTGTTAATTAATATTTGAAATCTTGAAGCGGTTTGAAATCGTACTTCGCTATCTGCGACTGCTGTATTTGTATTGATTCTTTAAATGGATTTTATTATTACAAATCCCGTTAAATTGTTAAGCAAAGCATTTATAATTTATTCAAATTGATTTCAATTAGTTTAAGGCTTAGATTAAGACATTAAAGATATTTTAGAACTTTTTGTGGTTTCAATCAAACAACTCTATTTATCACATTAAGCATCACAGAAGGCTGCCATTAATTGCAGGCTAGTTTCGTCATTGAATATGCAGCAAAACAATCTTCATTGAACCGATAATTATCGTGGTAATATGCCCATGCATAATTACTACCGACATATTTGCCATACTGTGGTCTGTTCTAAGAAATAAGGTATTTTATAAGTTAGTATAAATATAGGACAGGTCGCCGAGTACAGCACTCAGCTGTTAGACAGTGATCGAGATTCACCTATCAGTGTAAGGAGGCCAGTAATCATGAAGGTAGCGCTACTCACACTCTGCTTCGCTCTTGGAGTCCTCGCACAGGATATGTACGAGAATGCCAACGACAACTTTGACATCTCTGAGGTTCTGGGCAATGAAAGGCTCCTCAACTCCTATGCTAAGTGCCTACTCAACAAGGGACCTTGCACTCCAGAAGTAAAGCAAGTTAAAGGTAAGCTTAAATCAAATTTTTCATGAAAATCCTAACATTTATTGAAACTAAGGTACATTAACATTAACAAAATTCATAAATTACGAGTACAACTTATAACACAATCCCAAAAATGTTAACTAACTAATAAATCAAAGTTCAAATTGTCATTGGTTTACATACATTGCGTCGACATGGTTCTTATCTAAGACTTTTCTAAAAGTTGCAAAAGAGACCCATCCCTCGGAATGTAATAGCTTTGCTTCTTCCCAAAGCTCATTGAAGCTTTGATCTGTAAAAGATTCTCCAGCAGCCTCAAACACCTTTCTTACTACTTCTGCGGAACGTTTGGCGTACATATCTCGGTGACTGACGCCCAGAACAGAAAAAATACTCGGACACAAACATGCCTTTGCGTCTGTTTCTTCACTAAGAAATACGGTATGGGCCCTACAATAACGAGGTGGTATCACAGGAAAGCTTCTGTCAAAATACCTTCCTGCTGGTAAACCAGCCCGAGTGTTCTTGTCGGGTGCCTTTTGTCCAGGTTTCATCATCTCCTCATACGTCGTAGAATAGTACAAGCATTCCTTAGAAATATCTGGTATTTTAGGCAATTGCGGTAGTGGTTCTGTATGATTAATTACTCGAACAAAAGTTTTATACTTTATTTGTGTACCGTTAAATGCGTTCCATGACTCTAAAAGAGGTTCCATCAGAGACGGTTCGATCTTAATATATTTTCTCATACAAAACTCATAAACTGTTTCTTTTGAAAGCCAACCTGAATTAGTTCCATCAAGATATTTTAAATGTAAATAAAAACTGTGAAAGAATTGTGAATCCAAATTTTTAGCTAAACATCTTCGTACATTATTTAAGTGCTTCAGGCATTTCAAATAAAATAGTCTTCCGAGATTCGGGGGGCAAGTTGTTATGACTTCTGAAATGCTACTAGATGGTTTTAATTTTCCAAACGTAAAATCTGTCGGCACGTTATCAATGTTCCTATTTGGCGAACTAGGCAAACCAAGGTGTGCGTCTTTCACGTGCTTAAAGTCGGCTAGTACGGAATTTATATGAGAACAGGAAGAGTTTCCTAGTATGACTCTTTCGTCAGTCAAACAGCATTTTGTATGTCTACCTAAATTGCCAACATTACTTTTTTTACCAAAACAAGAGTTAGGATCAAAGGCCGGCGAGCAATAATTGCGAGTCGTTCGATAACTTGGTTGTTTGGAATCTGGTAGGTCAGGTAAGGGAACTTTTGGCAATATAACATCGTATAAACTTTCCTCGACCTTTGTTTTCTTCCCCATAGTAGTAGTTAGAATTTTGCATCCTTTAGGTAGCATAGGAGTTTGATCAGCAACCGCTCCAACACGTGACTTCCAATAAGATCTATATACTGTACATTTTAAGTCTTCTACAAGGTCTTGGTATTTACTAGTGCTAGGTGGGTTAATAAGTTCCGAACCGGCAGAATTGGCACCTGCATGACGCATGTCCTTATGCTTTGGAGGTTTTAGTTTGATATCTGTTATGGGAATAATCGCATCACCAATGAGGGCGTCGACTTCGTCTTTCAATAAGTAACATTGAAGGTGTTTGGCAACGGATTCATTGTGTTGAGCTGTGGGTTTACCAGCAGCAGCTATATTTGGACTCCTCTCATAAAATAATCCCGCATTTCCTTTGCCCCCATGGATACACGGAACATTTCTTAACATTATTGCTAATAAATAATTCCTACAAATAATTATTTAAATATTTATCAAACAACAACTTGAAACAAAGACGTGAACTGAGGTTTTATTTCTTTTTCTTTGATATCATTGCTTCTGACACTTGAGTTTAAGGTGTTATTGAAAATCTAAAAAGAATGAGGTTGTGACAAGGCTGTGCAGAGGATTTTATTCTGAAAATGAATGAGGCTATAATTTTGTGGTTATCAGATAACGCTAAATAATCAAATACTTTATTGAGTGACAGGCCTTAGATCTTCCTAACGCCTCTCTAGTAGCGATTTCATACAATAGACCACGCGATAAACCATATTGTTTAATATAATTTTCATAAAAGTGAACCAATCTCGTTACAAGGCTTTTAGAGCTAAAAGTAGAAAGAAAAACGATAGGTAATATAAGAATCTGATTGATACAAAATATGATATATTGTTTTATGTTCCGACAAACTAGCAGTTGAACATGTGATATCATTTTATGTAATAATAATCGCTCATTAACTTAAAAATAATAAAATAATACACATCATGTTAAACATTCCTTTAATTTTTTCTTTTTAAGATAAATTGCCGGAAGCTCTGGAAACTCGGTGTGCAAAATGTACGGATAAACAAAAGCAAATGGGCAAGACTTTGGCTCAAGAAGTGAAGAAAAATCATCCCGACATCTGGAAGCAACTGGTGGCAATGTACGACCCTGAAGGCAAATACCAACAAGCGTGGAAGGACTTCCTCCAAGAATAAAACCGTATATGAAAATAAATACACCATAAACATTCCTATCAATTTTAAAATTAAAATTACAAATAATTATTGTCTAAATTAATACAAATAATTAGAAAATGAAGCAACATATTACAAATATTGATGGTCAACTTTTGGTTTCTCTTCACTTATGCTCGGTATAGTTTTCCATTGCCTGTCGAAATGTTTCGAAACAGACCCAACCTTCTGAATGATGTTTTTTAGCTTCTTCCCAAATCCTATTGAATCCTTCATCTGTAAACTTTTCTCCAGACGCCTCAAAAACTCTTCTAACGACATCTGGTTCTCTTTTTTGGAACATATCTCGATGCGAGACAAAGAAATGCGTCAACACGCTTGGTGATAAACACGCTTTAGCATCATTCTCTTGTGGAAGACAAATAATATCTGCTTTACTCATTCTATCAGGGGTTATGGGGTAATTCAAATCAAAATATCGACCTGAGGGTAAGCCAGCCATTCGTCTAGTATCCAGCGGCTGCCCTGGTTTTACCATTTCAGAATAAGTAGTTCGAAAATCAAGACAATCTTCTGATACGTCAGGTATTTTAGGGACATCAGGAAGAGGTTCTCTATAATCAAAAATTTGAACTAATATTTCATACTTAATTTTAGAACCGTCAAATGCTCCCCATGTTGATAAAAGAGGCTCTATCAGGTGGTAATCGAATCGAATTAAATGGGCCCCACATAATCTATACACTATTTCTTTCGGTAGCCAGCCAATCTTTTCTTTATCAAAATATTTAAGTTCAAAGTAAAACTTGCGATAAAAACTTGGTAGTATCCTTTTAGACAAGCCCTTTCGTACGGTATTCAGATGCTTAAAACACGATCTAAAGAAATCCAATCCTTTGTTTATCTCACAGAAAGTAAGACATTCTGGTAAGTTATCGGAAGGAGAGACCTTACCAAAAGCGTGGTCTTTGGGAACTGCAGTAATGTTTTTGTTCGGAGCTAGTACCTGGCCCATTCTTGCATGATGAGTATCTAAGTAATTTGCTTCGATTGAATTGAGTATAAACCTATGTGCTATTCCGTTCATAATTGCATCATCAGTAAGACAACACCGAGCATATATACCACGTTTATCTATACAGGAACGGTGTCCGTATGTCAAGTCTTTGTTAAAAGGGGGTGCGCAATATTTATGATCTACCTGGACGCCAGCCTGTTTTGAGTGAGGTGTTTTATCAGGTATTGGTTCTTTCGGGAATAAAAACTCGTATAGTGGCTGTGTAGTATCCAATTTTTTGCCATAAGTTGTTCCTTCGATATCATACCCCGCCGGAAACATTGGAACTGGATCTTTCACTCTTCCAAGTGGTTTGTTCCAGTACGATGTATAAGAAGTTTCTTTTAAGTCATCTACTATGCTTTGAAATTTTGTTTTGGTGGGTGGATTAATAAGAGCATGAACTTGCCCACAGAGGCCCCCATGCCGCTTATCTAAGGGTATTGGATGACGTAATGGTGGGAGAGGAGGTGGTTTAGGTGTTGGTATGATCGCGTCACTCAATAGAGCGTCAACTTCATCTTTGAGCAGATAATGTTGCAAAGCGTCTTTCACACTCTCGTCTGCCTGAGCCGTTGGGACACCAGCAGCAAATACCCTCGAATCCCGTTCTATAAACTTCCCAAGATTTCCTTTACCTCCTGAGGTAATAGGTTTAGGACATTCTTTAGGCATTATTAGTACGTTTAACTAAAACATAATAAAAATATTGTTCACAAAAAATGTTGTAAGCTGTTTATGTCATCTTGACGTTGTTTTATTTGTTTTTTAAATTAAATTGACTGAAATAGTTTGTTCATTCATAGACACACTCTTTGGGATGATTGAGGAAAACCTTACTTAAATGTAAATGGGACATGCAGGAAGTATTAAGAGGAATAAGGTGTTTCTGCCTTCATTAAAACCAAGGGTCGTCCGGCAAGTGAGCATGAATCATATGCGTATCACTGACGTTGTATCTGATAATGCACCTATTACCAATGTACTCACGTCTTGTAGATCGTAATAATCACTTCTGTTTGTTCTGTGCGCACTTATGGACGATGACAAACAAGGCTTTATATACAACTAGGTATTTCACTTCCTCGGCAGTTGTGTTTTTTTCACCAGGCTGGACATATTTCACAGGTAGATATTGTTTATCTATAAAAATTTCACACCCTATAACAACTTCATATTTTATCTCTTATTTTCCAGTTTATATTAATGTTTTACAATTGTTAGTAATAATCAGTTTAATTTATAGATTAAATAGGTATAAATAAACGGTCTACAAATAAACATTGGTTCTGTTATCATACCAGTAAGATCGTGGCGGATATCCCGCAATTTTCCGTAATTATTTTGAAAGTGAATTAGAGAGTAACATTACAGGTTTAGTGTTATATAAACAACCGTAAAACTGGACGAGGCGTAACTATGTATATAATTGCCTATACAGGTAGGTAGCTTATTTTATGGGATAATTTAGGTGATATAATCAAATAGTAAAAACGAACGGTGTGATCTGGTCCAGATTTTTTATTTTAAGACTAGCATAAATAATGATGGGCATAGAAATGTAACCCTAGCATCCACGAGCATACATGGCTCTTTCATGCCGGGGAGGACGTAAAGGGGTGGTTTTTAGTCAGTAAGAGCCTGACACTCCCTCCCTAAGTCATTTAGTGACTTTCCCACCTTAAAAAAATGGCTCATTCATCTTTAATACTGAGGGTTAATAAATTTTAATTCACTTTAACCACTAAATTTATTAATACCAGGTTCCTACGTCATATTAACTGATAGTACTATCAAAAAACTTGGATGATAAGTCGATTTCTTTTTTGTAATTTCAGTTCATCATGAAGGCTGACTGTTTGTTAATTATGACATTAATGGCAGTGGTGGCAGCCGACTTCTACAACTCCAAGTACGACAGTTTTGATGTCCAGCCCTTACTGGAGAATGATAGGATACTACTGAGCTACACTAAATGTTTCCTAGACCAAGGACCTTGTACTCCTGACGCCAAAGATTTCAAAAGTAAGTTTAGAAAGTGAAAAAAATTGATTGCATTTTTTTCCCATTCCTACTTATTTCTTTGACTGTCAAGATAATAATGACCTATCTGTATGATGTTGCCTACTTTGTACTAAGACTTAGGTATACCTATCTTTATTTTCAAGCTTCGTAATATATAAGTTCTCTATCTAGATAGTGCTAATAAAATAATGAAATAAGGGTATGCTTAAAAAGTTAATTATTTTTCTTAATTTTTACAGAAATAATACCTGAAGCTCTAGAAACTACGTGTGGTAAATGCAGTCCAAAGCAGAAACAATTAATAAAGAAAGTAATCAAGGCTGTGATAGCTAAACACCCTGAGGCTTGGGAACAACTCAGTGATAAATACGACAAGGACAAAAAGTATAAAGACTCCTTCGACAAATTCTTAGCCGAAAAAGAATAAACGTAATGTAGTTATTGTAAATTGTACAGGCGCCTTATAATTAGTGCAGGTATTTTACTATTGTGTATAATATTTTGATAATGAAGCTTGATTTTATAAGACAGTTGTGTATTTATTAAATACATGGATGCTTTAATAGATTGTAATTCGAATAAGATTGCTCTAATAAATAATAACGTAATGTCAATGAATTGAAATAAAGGCACATAATAAAAAATAATTTATTTTCAATAAACTCCAATAGAATATAACTTTGGTAACTGCGTTCCTGAACACAATTTACATTTCCACCACCCATTCACCTGTTAGGTGAACTCTCTCCATATTTCATCATCACCGTCTTAATGTCGCTTTACTGCGTCAAGCTGGGTTTTGTACCTCTCCTGGTAGATATTTTCAGGGTCATACTTTCCTGATAACTCCTGCCACAAGTCTGGGCGTTTGTTCACCAAGTGCCTGATGACCTTGTCCGAGCTCTTCTTTTGTTTTTCAGTACATTTGCTACACTCATGTTCTAAGGCGTCAGGGAGAGTTTCTTTGAGGGCTTTCCCATCAGGAGTGCAACGTCCTCTGTCGAGCAAGCAGTCTACGTACGCTTTTAGTAGACGCTGGGACTCTAAGATCTCGTCTACGTTGATGTTATCCCACTTGTCGGTGTAGGTGGAGGCAGGCCTAGCCCAAGCCACTGCCACCACACATAAAGCGAGTACGATGATTAGTTTCATTTTGTATCTGGAAGAGAAAGAAAAACATTTCACTATATCTGTTTTGATAAAGCTTCAAATCAATTAGGTCCACGCCTAATTCCATTTAGGAATGCCGTTTCTATTTTTACGAAACATCACATATTCCCAAATTGTTTCACCAGAATTCCAATGCAATTCTTTTTTCAAACTTTATCAATCTCCACTCGTACCTAAGCAATATCTAGAATCGATAATTTTTCCACAAACGTATTACAAAACGCAGTGACAATGGCGAAGTGAGATGGCTGGCGGTAATTGTTCGCCGGCACACCTAGGTACCTACCTATGTTATTAATTAGTAAGATTACCTATTGTCTCATTGTTACCACGATAATCGTACGATTGTTGTGATTCGTACGTCTGTGTGTGTGTACGTGTTACCTTTTAACACAAATTTTGATAGGATGCTATATAGGTCAAATTGTAAAGGTGTATAGGAGCTGTTTCATTATTTGAGCATTTAGTTTGTTCCCAACTTTTTAATCATATCAATTTACGCAGCATTTCATTTTGCGCAGCTAATCCGAAAAAAATTACATTTACAGACACACATTCAAACAAATAATTAAAGTCTATTTATTTACACTAAATACCCTTTTATGTTTGACATAAACATGTTCTGACAAGACACAAGAGTATGTTTTAACATAAGACTGCCTCGTTGGCCGGGTGATCGCAAGCGCGATTGCCGGACAAGGGGTCTCGAGTTTGATTCTCGGGTCGGGTAAAGTATTACGGGGTAAATAAACTGTCAAACACCAAGCGGTCACCGGTGACCGCAACCTATTGTTCTATAATTGTGTCTATAATGACGGTACTCGACGAGTTAAAAAAATCTCAGTAGTAACACGGAGTCTAAAATTGTGCCCGGTATATGGCAATAGGCTCACCCCCAATTATATGGGACTCATAACATAAATAGTGAAAAATGGGTGTTACATTGTACAGTGGCATTAAGTGCCGTAACGTGCACCTCTGCCTACCCCTTCAGGTAAAAAGATGTGATGTTATGTTATGTTATAAAAATGTTCAATGAGCGACACTTACAACAAGTAAAGTCAGTAAATAAACAGCATCGTGTAAATGTCGTGTAAACAGAAACCATCGACTGTAAACATAAACTCATGAATGCATAATGCAGCGACTAGCACTAATAGCAGACCGGAGTATTGCAATGCTATCAATTATACAGGATCGTACCCATAGCGGTAATACTATATATGCAAGTGTTACATGAGAATTATGTTAATTCTAAAGTTACATTTATGGTACAGGCAAACGAACCGATAGATCATCTGATGGTAAGCAAACGCCGCCCCTAAGTGCATTTGCCGATCTTTTGCTACTGAGATTTTTTTAAAACCCAGTAATACTTTGCCCGACCCGGGAATCAAACCCGAGACCCCTTGCCCAGCAGTCCGACTTGCGACCACTCGGCCAACGAGGCAGTCAAGAAGAATCACTCAAGCACTCAAGAATCTACTAGATTGTAAGAAAAACAAAAAAGTTATTGTTTGAATAACTGATGCTATATTAACCCATTAACGCCCAAATTAAAACGAGTAATGTTTTTATTAATATAACTTTATTAATAGGTTACTTAGGCACTATAAAGACATATTGAAATGTTAAAAAGAAAATGAAAAAAATAAAAACCAATATTTGGAGCCGTACTTTTTATAGTACAGCGGGCGCTTATGCATGATAATTGGCGAAACAATCTTTATCAATACACAATGTCTTCTGGCACTGGCTACACTGCCATTTTATACGCGTGTGACACAAAATACATCTAAATTGTTTGGGCAGCTTCTTAGGGTTATGTCCGTTGTTTTTTGGGCAAGGTCCTGCTATTTCAGTACCGGATGGACGGCTTTTGATAATGTTGTTACGCTGTAGATAATGTCTCGCTACGTGTCGCCGAAAATCCAGCTGGTCAAAGCGTTCTTCGCTGCTCATACTGTGCAGACGCCAAGCGTTAGATACACACATATCAAGCAAGTAGGTGAAAATAGACCACCACCACTTTTTTCCACGTATACTCACTCGATACATTGAAATAGATGCATCCATAACATCGACGCCGCCCATGCATTTGTTATAGGTTTGAAATAAATGTGGAATATTCACATCAACCTTCTGTCTGCTTTGTGAACACCACCGTTTGACTTTTCCCATAGGTTCAACTGTGTCGAAATTCGTACCAATAGTGCATACACTGTTGTCCTTCCATCTGACAAGCAAAACCTCGTTTTTTGTATCAAACCGGTAATCAAAATGAGCTCTTTCAGATTTTTTCATGTCCTTCACGGAAATAAGAGGGCATTTTTTTGTTCGATTGTCTCTTATTGTTCCCGTTGCTCTGAACCCACTCTCTTTTAGTTTGATAAACAAGTCATAACTAGAAAAGAAGTTGTCAAAATATATGTTATGCTCAGCAGGTACTAGTGACATTTTATCTAACAATGAGGTAACCACTCGAGTACCGAGCGGTGTGTTCGTAGCTTCAATAGATTTGCCACAGTATAAATCAAATACATAGCAGTAACCGTCAGCACTAGCGGCCACCCAGTTTTTATAACCGAATCTGATCGGTTTACCCCTGATGTAATGTTTTGATGGATGGTGACCGTAATACTTTATCATCGATTCGTCTATCGATATGTCTTCATGGAGAACACCACTTTGACAAAATTTTTGATTTAGGGATTCAACCAAGGGCCTGACTTTGAACATCTTGTCATTTGAAGTAGATGCTAAACTATTGTCTACTAAATGCAGATTTCTTTTTATATCAAGGAATCTGTTTCGAGACATGGACCGGGCAACAAGAGGTACTCCAAGATCTTCGTCATAACTCCAATACTGACGCTCTCTCGGCAATCTGTGATATCCTGATAAAATTAGAATTCCCAAAAATCTGCGCAAATCTTCTCTATCTAACACAAATCCATGTCTATTATTTTGTCCTGCATAAAGCTGTGTGTTACTTAGGATCAAATCATAAACTTCAGCATCAAATATTCTATCAAAGACTTCTACTGGTGAAAGATTTTTTAGCTGTTCGATTAGTTGAGTTTCTTGTGATGAACGTGTACTATTTTCATATGGTTGGGAAAAAGATGAATAAGCTGGTGAACATTTCCTCCACGTCGGTAAAACATCACTTGCATTGGGACGCCTTCTTTTGTTCGACAAAGGTTCATCGTCACTATCTTCCCATTCGGACGTTTCAGATGAATGACGTCGTCGACGAGTTACCTCGATTGTTCCAGGAATATCTTTCGGTAGTGTTGACGTTTGTAAGTCCTCTTCTCCTTCTTCTTCGTCCGTCAATACATCAGGTCCGGGCGGTAAAATAATAAGGTCATACTCGTTATCACTCTCATCCTCCTCAATGGCGTTTACAGCTTCCTCAAGCCCGCGATAATGATTTGCAGCACTGAATCGCTTCATTTTTTTCTGCAAATATAATATAACACTAAAGCCCACTGTACTAAAAAAACGACATCAAGGTATATCGTAATCCAACTCACAAGATACGTGATAAATTTTAGATATTTTGTCTAATACAGTAACTTACTATCATAATTTAAAAATCTAATGCATAATTACACTAAAAAACATACGTTAACCTATTTAAAAAGATAAAATAATTGACTTACCTGAGCAACCCAAATATTCGCGCACAAAAATGTCAAAAAATGGCGGTTAACCGATTACTTTCTTAACATTTTTTATACTCTCATAGAAGCTGACGCCATCTATCATTTACTTAAAGTATTAATTAGTCTAAATAGTAGACAACAAACTTTTATTAGAGATTTGAAATGGTGTCGTTTTTTTAGTACAGAGGGCGCTAATGGGTTAAAAGACTCAAGACAGAATGAAAAACCTATTTCAGGAAAACAGTTGGTTATTGTTCTAAGCGTTGACTAATGGAAGTCAACCTACGATTACTTAACTCTACAAGTTAACAAGAACTATATAATTGATACTTTAATCAGCAACTAAGAATTGCTTCTGTTTTCCTGGTTTTAGACTAGAAAATAAATGGAAAATTGTAAATTTTTTTCGATATTTCTAATAATGGTTTCTTTGATTTAAACGTGAAGGGTATGAACATAGGTCTCATGCCTGCGAACCTCTCGATTGCATCAGGGTCAGCAAAAATATGAAGAGTTGAAAATGAAGCTCAGTGGCGTGATATTAGAGATCGATGCCTTATTGGAGGGAGTAGCTAATAACTGTAGGCAGATGATGACAATGATAGTAAAATCAGATACATTTCTAGTCGCAACAAGCAATGTTACATTCATGTAATCTTATCATATATACACCATGTTATTAAATTGGTATTAGATTTTAGGAAATATTGATATCGTAACTAAGAGTTCATATCGATTGAAGTTCAAATGCAAACAGTAATCTTTTGGTTATGATAAAGATTTTACATTATCGATTCCAGAACGTATGTCAAGTTCTGTGTTAAAAAAATACTAGTTATTGATTCATTGTAATGTCACTATAAACAATAATAAACTAACAAATCACATGATGTACTTAAAGAAACAATGGAAGAGAAAGAAAGTTTATATGATGTCAGAAACATAGATTGACTTCACGATGGCCATAGGCGCTTTTTTCACCAGGTCCTAATACATAGAAGATAGAATGTAGTTCAAGACCTTTAACTTTAGCTTCGACTTCAAAAACTTCGTCTAAATCTCAGAGTCAGTATCCCTATAGCACTATTATTTAAACACGAGTAATTATTTACACACACCCCTAGAAAATATTTACCAAAATTCAAGATATGAAATGAAAAAATTAGAAATCTGTTTTGCTATCGAAACAAAAGATATAAAAAGTAGTATTATTATTTCTTTTCACGGAAAGAAAGTTGAATTTTACTGAAGGGTTGACTCACCGTATTTCCCGTGAGCTCCGTTCGACCCTTCGCTGGGCTGTGACGCCTTCATCTCGCCCATAACGGAATATATACTGCATTCACCTCTTGAATTAATCAGGCATTGTGACGACATCTATGCATATAATAGACACCGGGATATCATAAACAATGGCGTTGCATTACGAGGTAATTATAATTAGATGAATAATATCAATTGGTCAATGATTGAGATCACAATTCCGATGGTTTATTGATTTCCCTTTGTTTTTTCATACACTCGTAGAAAAGATATCTTTGTGAAAGAGGATATCCTGATTTGACCTCATTTAAAAGATGAGTCAGAGAGAATATGAAACCAGAAAATGTAAGGATTATAGTCATTGTTTTCTTTTTTAAATGTCCAGAAAATTGACCTATGTGGGATCCTTGTGTGGGGCACTAGGATGTTCTCCTGTTTTGTGGGTGCATTTACAAACATACAATTTCACATTCAGATGACACCTAAACCCGAAACAACTATTTGTGTACCACACAAAGAATTGTTCCTTGCGGGAATCGCGTTGCGTGGCACCCGCGTGCCCGGTTGAGGTTTCCACCCAGACTTCCCTAGTGGGGCAAAGACCTGATTGATTTTGATAGTATGTATGTATGTGTTTGTGCAACCTAATATTTTGTCAAACGATCCATCCTATGTGTAGCAGTTTATAAAAATCCATGAACGATCCATTTCCCAACAACTAATAAGTTTGGGATTCAAGTGTGAGTCAACACCAAATAATCAGCAACAAGGTGGTTAGGGTACGACTATTCATATTGGGAATCTATGGTATTGCCAAGCTATCATTGATCGGAATGGAATCTATCAGGCCAATTAAAAAGTGAAGCTCAGCCTCCAAAAACGAAGGGAAAGATTCAATCTAATTTATTTTAAGATACTGATTTATCAAGTTAAGGCACGGTGTAAAGTGAAATGTTAGTACGTGATTTATAATGATAACAAAAATCCTGTATATCGTAAAGCCATTGAACCTAAAGTTGGCTTCTATTTTATTCTTTAAAATAATGAATGTAAACGCATTATTAAATAAATAATTTCACATGCTCATCACACGACAGCAAACCTGCAATAACTTTTATGGATCACACTAATTGTTGCACCCAAAGCAGATTGATTATATTAAATGGCTAATATTAGTTTCAAATGGAATTATAACTTTAAAAAGCTCATTAAAAATTAACAGTTTATTTTCTTCAGACATAAAGATCTTTGATGTTTTCATAATTACTTTGCTTGGAAAACGTTTTATACATGTTTTGTTAAAACGAATTGATGTAAAAAAACTCTTTATAATGCTTATAATTTATGCACTTTCTGTTACCTTTACAACAATCTGAAATAACAACAATGTATAATCTAAAAACCAGAAATTATTTTCATAAGTGCATGTAATACCTAAATTCATGTTTCTAAGAATATACAAACCGATAAATATAAAAACATGTGATGATTCATTAAAAATAGACTCTTTTAAAATTATTAAAAGATCTAATTTGTTTTAGCTGCATTCATTTGCATGTTTATTAAAAGAATTGCGCTAGTTCCTGCAGTATTTTTCCTTTGCGGAAACCAGTTGCTCTCTTTGAAGGATAATTATAACTAATAATTATTTTACTCAGTAGTTATTAAGATCAGAAGTAAGGTGAATAATAAAATTATTGTGTAGGTATACTTTGAGAAAATTTACATTTTACCTTTTTTTACCCAGGTATTAGGTATACTGACGCCTGAATACTTAAAAGGCTACTCAATTTTACTTAAATATTACTCAAGTTGTACTTAAATATCGTGCCATCTCTGTCTTGTTACAAAGGATTTGTAGTGACAGAAATATATTTAAGCGCTATTTAAAATTGAGTGACGTTTAAGTATTTCAGATGAACGTGTCTGTTGAGTAAAATGAAGCTCATTGTATTTTGTTTGTACGGATTCACTATTGAGAAAATAGTGCATCCGTTTTTCAATAAAAAGGTAATGTAAGAATGTATGTAAGAATCGTAGCAATTGGCGTTCCACAGTCACTGCCTACCCCTAGGGGAGACAGGCTTCAGGTTATGTGTGTAAGTTGTCATTGTTTGCTTACGTAATAAACCATGCATTTGTATCATATTTTCTGAGGCTGTCCCAAAATTAAAAATATCAGACTAAATCATAGGACCTTTAGTTATAATTAATCATGATGAAATCTATATATTGCTGTTTCCAATCCGATAAACAAATATGTACTTCATACTGGTGTACTGAGCTAACGATGCAATTACTTAAGATGACGTGACAACAGGTTGAAACAAAACAGGATAATATTTGATACAAGGGCGGCAACTTACTATGCTGGTTAAACATGTAAATTGACTTCGTGAATTATAGATTTAACTTGTATTGAGTTAACATTTAGAAGAAACTCTGCATTTAAGTAGTTTCTTATATTGTAAGGTTTCATACTTTCTGAATCATCGAATGACTGCTCCCGCCTGGGTTAGGCGGGAGGGAGTGTCAGACTCCTACTGACTAAAACCACCCCGTTCCTTGTCCTGCACGTCGAGCCGGAGCGCCGGTTACCCGTTAGGTTCTCCGCGACAAGGTTTCATACTAGGCTTGTATTGTCTCTTGTTTTTTAGTTAGTGTGTTGATCTTGTGTAGTATGTTCCTTATGGCATCAAGCATTTTCTTTCTTTATTGAAACAAAGAGTTTCCTTTTTCTTGTACAGAAACACTATTTTTATGGATTGTCAGTATGCATATGTGAGCACCATGTTAGACTTTAAGATTATTTTTTTTATTTTAGTAAGTATGTAATTAGGTATAATGCGTCAAGCGTGTCTTTGCATTGTTCTCACATATACGTACAGTATTGGAATATGTATCAGAGACATTGTTGAACATATTTTTTTAAAAAGAGTAACGAATGGAGTTTCTTGCTCGTTCTTCTTCATTCGAATCTACATTTTGGAATGAGCACCTAGCTTCACCTAGGTTCACTGACGGACTGACTGACAGACTATTATTTATTTTGTATTTGTTGACGTTTCAAAAGTACCAAATTATGGTTTAATTGAAATAAATGCTTTGACTTTGACTTTAACTTTGACTTTGTACCTGCTCTCACTTTATATGACGTACATACATGAGGCACACATAAATGCTGTGTTACATATTTTTATTTTGGTTAACAAACAAATTGTTTAAAAGGTTTCTGTAACAGCTAGATTAACTCTTTATCTTCTAACGTGGAATGAATTTGTGCTTCTCGACAGCTCCACAAAGTAGACCACAGACGACATTAAGAATTATAGTCTTCAGACTCAGCTAATTAATATTCCCCTAGTTATTCAGGTTAAGCCCACAGATTCGCACATACGACCATGAACTGTGCAAAAGATATTTTTCCCAGTACTTGTTGTATACTGGGAACAAATATTTGCAAATAAAATTTAACAATTAAGGCCGTAGACATTGTTAGCAGTTGCCAAATGATTGTCTACCTGTCTAATTGTTTAGGACTCACAAGATACTAGAATAAAATAAAAATGCCTCTTTGTCTGTGACATTGACGATTACAGGGTTTCAAAGTTTCAAAGGTTTAAAATAATAAGATGAAATAAGTAACGAAAGAGGTCATGTCATCAAGAGAATTTCCTCAACATAAATTCATAAACAGCTTATAAATGCCCACTGCTGAGCAAAGCCTCTTCTTATAAGGAGAAGGTTAGAGCATTAATCACCACGCTTGCTCAATGCGGATTGGCGATTTCAAACTTATAATTAGAAATTATAAGCCCAGGTTTCCTCACGATATTTTCTATCACCGTTGGTCAGTGTTGTCTAAATAATCAGTAAAAAAATAATAATCAGTGTTGTCAACATAAATTATACTGGCGAATAAGTCGATTGAACACAAGGGTAGACCCAATATCGAGCCCTGGGGAACACCTCGTTCTTTATAATCGTTGCTTCGTTCGATGATTCATAAGTAATGTTATTACAAAGGTCGATGTCGTGGTACCCTAGGTTATGTATGTACGATTAGTCTGTATAATAATACTATACACGAAGGTTCATGCACACAGTAAGTAATCAGTGACTCATCATTTATGAATATTATTTATGAATGCCAATTTAATGTCATAAATTAAACGCTTTTTATCCCGAAGGGGTAGGCAGAGGTGTACATTATGCTACTGAACAATAATATAAATGTGTATTGTAATAGGGGGTGAGCCTATTACCATATACCGGGCACAATTCCAGATTCTGTGCTACCACTGAGATTTTTTTTTAAAACCCACTAGTAACTTCATTCAACTTCTGTTGATTGAAAATGATAAAAAAAGTTTTCGAAATAATTGTCCATCGCGACAATAGTTTTTATGTTAATATTAAATTTTATTAACTTAATATATTATTATGTTTTATGGAAAAATAACTGAGGAAACGCTGTAGCGCATGGCGTGTCTATGTTTCTCTTTATAGTAATCAATAAAACTCGTTAATGTTGATTGCAATTAAGTTATGCAATCAATTAATACCTATTTATTCTTGTCAAGTTTTTCTCCATAACACTCAACACGCTGTCAATTTTGTAATTTAATTTTTATAATTGTTACACATAACATCACGCCTTTTTATCCACGAAGGGGTAGGCAGAGGTGCACATTGCGGCACTTAATACCACCGTGCAATGTAGCACCCACTTTTCACTATTTATGTTATGAGTCCCATGTAATAGGGGGTGAGCCTATTGCCATATACCGGACACAATTCCAGACTCAGAGATCTTTCAAATTTTTTTTAAAAACCCCGTAATACTTTGCCCGACCCGGGAATCGGAACCCGAGACCCCTTGCCCGGCAGTCGCAGTTGCGACTACTCGGCCAATGCAGCAGTCATATAATTTTATAATTGTTAAAACAGTTTATTCATTGTGTTTTTGTTTCTTGATTGCATTTTAACATAAAAGTGATATGTCATACTCCAATATCGAAGAACAATTTTATGAAGAAAAAAAAAATATACGTCTCTGTTTAGAAGTCGATTTATTAA